TCCTTCGGTGCACGCACTGCACCGCATGGACTGCACCGCATCTATATGTGTCAGCGCATTACTCAAACATACTAAGCCACACTACGTCGGACTCGTGCCTTCCAGCCGGGGGACTACGGCCCCCTCGCGGGCGACCAAGCCCGCGTCTAGTCATACTCGTGCCGCCCAGCCGGGGGACTACGGCCCCCTCGCGGGCGACCAAGCCCGCGTCTAGTTTTTCGCCTGTTTGTCCGCGGTTTCGGAGCTGCGTCGTTTTCGCTAGCTCCGTCGCCGCGTGGGAGCCGCGGTCGCCGGTTCGCGCCCTGCCGTCGCCGCTTTTTTCGTCTTCCTTCGTTCTGTTCGGCGCCCCGCGCCGCACCGGACTATATGGATGGCACCGCACCGCACCGCACCTGGGCCCGCGCAAGGCGCTCCTGAGCATGGCCGTGCGCCGCTTCGTCGGGTGCGCTAGCTCCGATGTCGAATGGGAGCCGTGGTCGCCGGTTCGATCCCGGCGCTGGCGCGTCGTTTTGTCCTTTTTTACGTTGCGGCTCGCTGGCTTCGTCGCCCGGCGCCCGCTTTCTTATATTTTTCGTTCGGGAGTGCTGCCTTTATCGTCGCGTGGTTCGTTTTTCGCGTCGTCATCGTTTATTGTTCATTTCTTTTCGTTCTGGACCGTGCACCGCACACCGCGTCGTCCCGGACTGCACTGCTCCACGCCTGGGCCCGCGCAATGCGCCCCCGAGCATCGCCGTGCACCGCTTCGGTGTCCGCGCCGCACCGTACTGCACCGTGTTGCACCGCACCGCGCCACACTGCGTGTGGTAGTGCATCGCACCGGATTACACCTGCACCCGCGCAATGCGCCTCGGAGCACCGGCGCTCACCGCTTGTGGTGTGTGCTAGCTCCGACATTGAATGGGAACCGCGGTCGCCGGCTCGATCCCGGTGCAAGATTTTTTTATCGTTTTTTCGTTCGGGACCGCTTACCGCACCGCACCGCACTGCACCGCACCGCACCGCACCACAATTTAACGCGCAAATCGCAAAACATTGGCTGCACCGCACTGCGCAATTTGACATGCGCCGACTCGCGCATTTTAACACGCAACCCACCACACAACTCGACGTGCAATTAAACATGCAATTCAACGCGCAATTTAACGTACACCGAACCACGCAATTTGACGCGCACTGAACTGTGCAGTGCTTGTCCAACATTGTCCGTGTAGGCTGTACGGCATTTTGTGAAGCTGTTTTGTTCATGGACGTTGGCTCGCTACAATATAATTGCACCGCATATATACGCATCCGGTTTACTTATTTTCAGATACGGTTGCTTTAAAGCTGGCGGCTGTAGACTAGTTGCGCTGCCGACATAAGCTGCACGGTATTTCGTGAAGCTGGCCTCTTTACATGCATCGGCTCGCTAACCGATTTTCGCCAGACGACAATATCTCGGCACATCAACGGTTGTTCATCGCCATCGATGGCTATTCATCGCCATCCTCGTCTGCACGTCCTACACGATACAAGGTCAGTCCATGTTGCAAAGCAGTAGCAACGAATAGAAATGACGAATAGCAGTGACTAGAAACGATAGCAAGAATTGCAAGGAATAGAAACACAACGTGCACCGAAGTGTGATGTGCAACACAACATGACCCGCGGGACGGTTTGCACGGTCGGTCGTGTTCGCTGGGTCGTGTACCGCGTTTTTTTTATAGACCGTGCACCCCACTAGCCATGTCTCGGCTCGTCATGCTTCGTCGTGCTGTATCATCGTGCTATCTCTGTCACCGTGTGGGAGCCGCAGTCGCCGGCTCGATCCCACGACAACATCTCGGCACATCAACGGTTGTTCATCACCATCGATGGCTATTCATCGCCATCCTCGTCTGCACATCCTACACGATACAAGGTCAGTCCACGTTGCAAAGTGGTGGTGGTGGTGGTGGCGGCGGTGGCGGTGGCGGTGGCGGCGGTGGTGGTGGTGGTGGTGGTGGTGGTGGTGGTGGCGGTGGTG